TGACTCCCTTTCTTCTGGATTAAAATAGCTACTAAAGCCAATTTCATCAAATATCTGCTGAAGTCGCCCTGATTCACCATGATGGGGTCGTAGGTTAGCCTTACTAGTATGTATTTCTCCTACCAGGGTAGCTTCATTATCTACCAGGCTCCAATCCTCCAGTCTCCAGGCCCTCGAACCATGTTCCAACCCCAATCGCACCTGGTATTCGTTCCCGTTCAGGACGTGTACCACACCAACCCCCTCCTTGAAGGTGGTTAACGTACCTCCAATGTAGACTTGAGGAAGAATTTCCGCTTTGTCAACCACCATATCTCCGTCCGGAATATCTGCTTTGACTCGCGCTATCATTGTGGACCTGGGAGGGATTGTCACTGCCTCTGCAATAGAAATCCCACTCTCAGCTCCATTCTTTATAAGCGGTAAAGTCGTTATTCTGGTCTGATTATGAAAAAAACTTAACGATTTAGCTCGCGCATCAATCATTGACCGATTCCACAATTCATCTCTACCCAGCAACCCGTCTGCCGGTATCTCACTTCCCTCCGGTACGACATGTAGATTTAACTGTAGACCTGGTTCGTTATTATTCGTAGCGATCACCGTCCCCTCTGTCATAACTCTTCCTCCAAATGCTCCTACGAGCTCTTTTTGCTGTGTTCTATCTATTCCTACCTCTACCGCCAAAGCTTCGGATTTAACCAAACTGGTATCCGATCCCGAATCCACCAATAGGAGTAATCTCTTCCCTCTCGCTACATCACATGGAAATTCTATATAAGCATCGCCGCAGTGCTGCGAAGACCTTGAGTAAGCGTTAAAGTTAATTCCCTTATCACTCTTACTCCGTGAATTAGCTTCGTCACCGTCTCTTGTATATGTGTACGTCTTTGCCCATATATCCCTTACAGCCCGAGCAATTGTATAAAATGTCATACATAGTAAAATCCCTAACATGTGTTTACCTTCCGTCCAAACATATTTGAAGACCTTTCTAATTTTTAGTGGTAACGTATATGTTCTCCTCGATATCCCGTGTAAATTTATTTTATCTATTATAACCGCTGTCTCTCCTTTAGTTTTGTGCCTCCATACTTTATTTCCTGGTTCCTTGAAAAAATTCTCCTTTCCACAAACGATGTCTGGCCGAATTTTACAGGGGTCGCATCCGGTATCCCAGTCTATCGGCCTAGACTGGGCCGGTTTGCGTTTCCCGAACTGGGGTTCCCCTCCACAGTCTCTAGCCATATGCCCTACCTGGCTGCATTTAAAACACTTAAACTGACACATTGCCACATATCTGCCTTGGCCTCCACTGTCTCTCCCTGTCTGGGTTGCGAACCTATCCGAGTTATCGCGACAAAACCTATTCATGTTGTGTTCCCTAACTCTACACACCTGACAAAACAAGGTTTCGAGCCTATTAAAACAATCGTCTGCAACGTGTCCTGACTTCTTGCAATAACTACAACCCTTGCTTCACCCAACTGTACCATTAGACTTACTCTCACCACTCTCTCTGCACTTAGGACCTTGTTCATGTCCATACTCCCCACATAGCGTGCAGTACGGTGTGTTCGCCTATGGAGCAATCTGCCCATCTATGCCCTCCTACTCCGCAAAAACTACACTGTAATACCACTTTATGGTCCTCACTGGATACATTTACATCACCACGTTATCACCAAACAAATCTTCCGCTGACTCCCCAATCTCTATAAGTTGACATAACTCGCCATCCTCCGCACCGACGAACCTTTTAATGAAACATCTGTTAGCTAAACGCCGATATTCGACCACCTGTGACACTGTTTTATCCGCGGACCATTGTGCGTTTATTATATCTTCTGCTTCGATCAGTAACGACTCTATCCGTGACCCGAAAGACGTTACAGATTCTGTATCGCGCTGAGCGCATCGATTAAAATCATTACGAATCTGCTCTAAGCATCGTCTCTTTAGGTACGCTTTCTTAACGGCCATACACAAATCATTTACTGACATGGAACTCTTTCCTCCTATACTTTCGTAAGCTGACCTTACCAGTCTTTGCTTAATGCAGGTTATAAGACTAAGAGAGTCTGCGTGTGGCAGTGCCTGCTGAGCCAACTCGCAACCCGCCACGAACTTGTAGACCTCTGACTTTGCCTTGACTCTCACTTTGCCTTGACTCTTCCTCCATCTGCATTGATGGAGCCCCAATATTATCACGACTATCAACTTCTAGTTTTCGTTGCAATTTCTTGACTTGCTCGCGCCAACGGCTGAAACAATTCTCCTTCCCGTTTGCCTCATATAAGCTCTGTATCTCCTTCTCTGAATAGCCCCTTTTTTTCAACGCGCGTTCCACGATTGGCGAGTCACCCCCTGCGATATCGCTTGCAAGTATTTTTGAAATATCCTCTTCGTTTTTCCCTACGTCCTTTAGTGCCCCCTCCAGCAACGCAGTTTGCGTCTCTGAATCATATAATAACTCTGTTAAGTCTTCTACTCTTCTAGATAAGTTATTACATTTGTGATGCCAACCCCCGTTTGACTCTAGCAGATCGCTTATTATTTTATCCTTCTTCTCGAACTTGATACTACCAACCCTTTCTATCTGGTCCCATAAAAATTCGACCTCTTCAATTCTTGATAATCTACAACCCCGCACGTGATCCCTAGTCAATTGTAAAAACTCTTTATCCTTATTTATCCCCCGTAATTGCTCCCACTCTCTCATCAATATCTTTTCTATAAAACTATTCACTGTGGTTAGCTCCTGTTTAACCTGTTCCACCCCATTCTCCATACAGCTTGCCTAACCAAGAGTTCTTCTGAACTATGAATTTACGGATTTGTAAATTTAAAATATTCTTTACACAATTCGTTAAGGAAAAAAGAAGGAAGGAAAAAGAAATTGTATATGATATACGGCGTTACACTCGCAGCCAACAAGTGATTGAGAAAAAAGAGCAGAAAAATTATTTAAATTTCATGCATCAATTAACTATTAAATTATTGTAGTAGTCTATCCGATCATTACTTATCACATATTCCATATATATATATATTTTATAAAATAATAAATTATTAAACTAATGTAATAGTAAATCTATATCGTTACTTTTATATTTCTCGTTTGAATATAATTATTACTCCTCACACATTTCATACATATATATATGTATATTTCGTAAATATAATAAGCTATTGATAATAAATATAAATTCAATATAAATATAAATTCCAATATAAATTCATACAAAATCATACACATTCAAGAGTATTTCCTTTTTATTGTCGTCCTGTCATTGTTGTTGGTTCTGCTTATTCGACAACGCGGCTGTTGTTGATTTGGTGAAATTTGCTGTTGTTGTCGTTGGTATTTGTTTCGTTGCAGTTGTTACTATTGCAATAACATCGTCATTAGCTTCACTCCTACTTCCACCCATCCGATAAACGAAAACACATTTCCTCAGGTAGGAGATTATTTTGTATATTACAATTTATTATTTATTAAATAAATGCGCAGTCGTTTTTCTTTAATGTGACAACACTAAACGTATAAATTGTGTTCGTACTTGGTACAATAATAAATCCGTACTTCGTACTTGAAAAATTGTTTACGATTAATATTCAATTTAAATGTTTTTAGGTCACTATTAATATTTAGTATTATAAACAATAAATATGTTTTTATGAGTTCTTATAACTTTTGCAGTATATTAAATTATTTACAGTTTATATATACCACGTTTTGTAACTTTTTAGTCCAAAAACAACAAATATGTTTTTATGAGTTCTTATAACTTTTGCAGTACATTAAATTATTTACAGTTCATATATATTACGTTTTGTAACTTTTTAGTACAAAAACGTGTACCGGCTGCGCCAAATGTTGTGTCTTAAATCTTATTAATTATTTACAGAAAAACCTGTTCATAATAATCCTTTTGTTCACATATTTTTAAAATAAAATTTCATTTAATTAACTCTATATTTAACTCTATATCAAATCACAAATTACTTTATTCTATATAGAATATTATAAGTTATTTTATGTTAATTTTTTCAACTTATTTATTAACAAACTTTTCATGTTGTGTTCTTAATTATTCGCCGAAATTTTACTAATCTTAATTAATTTTTAATAAATGAATATATATATATATACACATATTTTAATATGGAAAATCAAATCGTTTCTTTTATTGGAAGGTCCAAATGTGAATTTTTATAATTTATCTAATTCAGGCAGTTCACAAACGAATCGTCTGCTCGCGTTGAACATCAAATCAAAACTTGCTACCTACTCTCAAAAATGAAAACCCGCATGCTTTTACACCAAATTCAAAACATGTTATTCCAATTTTGGTGTAAACAGCTAGCAACAAAACAATCGGCGTGCGAGTATCACGCCATACAACCGTTGCGTCCAGCCCAGGGGCGGTTTGCAATTTGCAAAATAACATTAATATATTAATAATATATTAATATACCAATGTGAATTTAATTTACATTTAAATTACGATTTACAACAGTATTTACGATACGTAAGTGAAACGTAAGTAAGCAACAAGTACAACCAAACAACACATCTGGCATCCCTGATAGATATGAAGGGGACGGATAAAAAGACACACAAAAGAAGAGGTAGATAACTGGTGCGCAGTATTAGAGAGATTTTTTAAGTAGAACGTGTAAGCTAAATTTTAAGCAAACAATTTTGTAACCTTATATTGTAAAAATAGCGTAGTAAACATTTTAAGTTAAATTCATTGTATTTTAAATTCTGTTACTTGTGGATTACAAAGTGTTAAGAACACATTTTCAATATTAACGACAATAATATACAAAGTAAAAATAATTGTCAATAGCAACGACAAATTGGTGACCCCGACGTGATTCCGGGAATTAAAACCACATTTGGTGATGCCGGAGTTAAAACAACAATTTGTAAAAAGCTAAGTAGCAGCAACAGAGTCTCGCAACGCAAATTCTTAACAAGCGGAAATATCATGAACGAAGGCGAAGCAGTCAGCGCAACAACCAGCACGACAGTACAGCATGGTACAACACCGGCAGAAATTTGCCGCATAGGTGTCCAGCCGCCGGTATTTTGCAAACGCGACCCCGACTTATACTTCCTGCAGATGGAGGCGCAATTTCGCAACGCACGCATTACACAAGACCAGACGAAATACGACTACGTGATTGGTTCGTTGGACGGGTCTACACTAAGAAAAGTTGCAGATATTGTAAGATCACCTCCATCGCAAAACAAATACGACGCAATAAGGAATCGCCTGATACAAAACTTTGCTGACTCTGAAAACAAAAAGCTACGCAGACTCATACTCGATTGCGAACTTCATGACAACAAGCCATCACAATTACTTCGCACTATGCGCGACCTAGCAGCTGGAGCCATGAATGACGGCGCACTGAAACAATTCTGGCTAGATCGTTTGCCCGTTGCAGTGCGAGCTGTTGTGTCCATCGCTGACGGTGATCTTGACAAATGCGCACTTCAAGCTGATAAAATGATAGAGATGGGGAGTTATGGTTCTGGAGCCACTGTAGATGGTGCAAAAAATTCTCAATCAGCACAGTCATCATCAATTGAAGAAATGCAAACCATAAAAAACGCCGTTTTACAACTGAGCAAAGATGTAGCTGAAATAAAGCAGCGACAATACTCAAATAGAAGACCTCGATTCCGAACTCCAGATCGTGATCCAGTCCAGCACATCCGCACACGTTCTGCAAATCAGGTTAGTAAGCAACCTCTTTGTTTCTACCATTACAGGTTTGGTGCCAATGCAATCAAATGTACCAAGCCTTGCAAATACAAGGCAACGGAAAACTAAAAACAGCTTTGTCAGAGACGGTAGATGAAGCTAGTGGTTATAAGTCAAGCCGTCTGTTTATTGTTGACAAAAAGACTCAACACAAATTTTTGGTGAATACGGGCGCAGATTTCTCGGTTTTCCCGATAACCGCAATCGCTAACCCTAAATCCAAACCCACAACAAGTACACTGTTTGCAGCGAACGGATCACACATTAAAACATATGGTTCCAAACTTCTGACACTCAATCTGGGGCTGAGGAAAAGTTTCGCCTGGTATTTCACCATCGTTGACGTGTCAAAGCCAATACTAGGAGCCGACTTCCTCAAAAACTTCAACTTATTGGTCGACGTCGCTAACAAGCGAATTATCGACAATCAAACGAAGTTGCAGACGTTGTGCATAGCTGAAATTGCAGCCTACTCTCCAGTTTCTTCAGTCAACAGCGACAACAAGTACCAGAAACTCCTGGCCAAATTCAAGGACCTGACTTCACCACTAACATTTAATTCGTTGAACACAACAAAAACAACGGTTCAACATCACATTTACACTAGCGGACGTCCTGTTTTTTCACGCGCTCGGCGGCTGAACCCAAGTATGTTACAGATAGCTCGTCAAGAATTCGAGTACATGTTAAGTCATGGAATTTGCACCCACTCGAAGAGCGATTGGGCTAGCCCGTTGAATATGGTTTCTAAAAAGAACGGCACGTGGCGACCATGTGGGGATTATCGACAACTCAACTCACAAACGTTACCAGACCGATATCCTATCCCACACATCCAAGACTTCGCACAAACATTCAACGGCAAGTCAATCTACACTACGATAGACATCGAAAAAGCGTATTTCAACATACCGATAGCTGCAGAAGACAAAAAAGACAGCGATCATCACGCCATTTGGTCTTTTTGAATTCAACGTGATGACATTTGGATTATGCAATGCCGCGCAGACATTTCAACGCTACATGGACCAAGTTCTTTCAGGTCTAGACTTCGTCGTCTGCTACATTGACGATATTTGTATCGCGTCCAGCAGTGAAGAAGAGCACTACCAACATGTCACAACGGTATTCCAACGCCTCCAGCAGCATGGGTTAAAAATTAATGTAAGTAAATGTGTTTTCGCTAATAACGAAGTGACCTTCCTAGGACATCGCGTAAACAAAGATGGTGTTAGTCCTCCAGTAGAGAAAATCAACCACATTACAAAATTCAAAAAGCCAGTACAAACATACGAACTACGTAGATTCCTGGCCATGCTGAATTTTTATCGACGATTTCTTCCAAACGCAGCGGTGATGCAAGGTCAATTGCAAGCGGTTATCAAAGGCAACAAAAAGAAGGACAAAAGTCTTATTGTCTGGACACAAGAAGCTGAGACTGCATTTGAACAATGTAAGCAAGCAATAGCCGACGCAGTAACCCTGGCACATCCACTACCAGAAGCACATTTAGTTCTAAACGTAGACGCCAGTAACTTCGCCGTTGGTGCAGCAATTCATCACGTTTGCAACGAACAAATGAAACCATTAGGATTCTACTCCAAGCGGATGATAGACGCACAGAAGCGCTATAGTACTTATGATCGTGAACTGCTTGCAATATATCAGTCGGTAAAGCATTTCAAATATATTATAGAAGGAAGACAATGTACTATTTTAACTGATCATAAACCGATCATATTCGCTTTTATGCAAAAACCTGAAAAAGCATCTCCACGTCAACTTCGACACCTCGACTTCATTGGTCAATTCACAACTGACATACGTCACATCTCAGGAAGGGATAACATAGTGGCAGATCTTCTATCTCGTATCGAAGTGATCAGCAAAGACGGAGATATAAATTTTGAATCATTGGCTCAAAGTCAAAAAACAGATAATGAGACCAACGATTTCTTAACCAGCAACAATACCGCGCTCAAACTCAAGCTTATAACTATTCCAGGCGCAACAATATCTATCGCCTGTGACATGTCAACAGTGAATGCACGTCCATTCATTCCTAAACCATTTCGACAACACATTTTCAATGTCGTGCATTGCCTTTCACATCCAGGTAAAAAAGCCACTGTTAAACTCATCAGTAAGCGGTACGTGTGGCCGAATATGAATCAGGATATCACTCGAATGGTACGAACATGCATCCCGTGCTAACGTGCAAAGGTCATTAGGCACAACAAAACAGCAATTGGCAGTTTTACAACGCCAGAACAACGGTTCGCAGCAATACATATCGACCTAATTGGACCACTACCTGCCAAAAATGGATATACATATTGCTTAACCTGTATCGACCGATTTAGTAGATGGCCGGCAGCAATCCCAATTAAAGACATTCATGCTTCAACAGTCGCTACTGCACTAATTAATGGTTGGATAACACATTTCGGAGTACCAACGCAAATCACCACTGACCAAGGTCGTCAGTTTGAATCCCAACTTTTTAACGAGCTGGCACGCACACTAGGCGTAAGACACTTGCGATCAAGTCCTCGCCATCCACAAAGCAATGGCATGATCGAACGCTTCCACCGTACGTTAAAAACAGCCTTAAAGTGTAAAAATGACCAACACTGGACCGAAGTACTTCCACTTGTCATCCTTGCCCTAAGAAATACTCACAATGAAGATCTGGACGCCACACCCGCAGAAATCGTATATGGTAGCGCACTAAAGCTGCCATGTGATATTTTTGAGGAAGTCAAAGACGACCAAGTATGTTCAGAATTCGTGAAACGCTTCAGACAAGCCATGAACAACATTCGCCCTGTCCCAGTATCACAACATTCAAAGGACAAGGTTTTTGTACAACACCAGTTACAAAAATGTACTCACGTTTTCCTGCGTGATGATGCAGTACGACCACCTTTGAAAGCACCATATGAGGGGCCATACAAAGTTGTAAGTCGGTCTGATAAGACATTCGAACTACTGGTAAAAGGAAAACAAGTACGCGTAAGTATCGACCGCCTAAAAGCAGCATTCTTACCAAACAGCGAACTGAAGGCGAATGTAAACGACACACAACTCTCCGATACAAGCACACCAAGTGAAAATACTGGCAAGGCAACACGAAGTGGAAGAACCACACGTCTGCCCCAAAAATACGTTACCTTCAATCTATCGTGATATCGTCCATAACTCAATCACTGGCAGGGGAGTAATGTGGTGTCTACCCAAACGTATTTACGATACGTAAGTGAAACGTAAGTAAGCAACAAGTACAACCAAACAACACATCTGGCATCCCTGAGAGATATGAAGGGGACGGATAAAAAGACACACAAAAGAGAGGTAGATAACTGGTGCGCAGTAGTAGAGAGATTTTTTAGTAGAACCTGTAAGCATAAATTTTAAGCAAACAATTTTGTAACTTTATATTGTAAAAATAGCGTAGTAAAAATTTTAAGTTAAATTCATTGTATTTTAAATTCTGTTACTTGTGGATTACAAAGTGTTAAGAACACATTTTCAATATTAACGACAATAATATACAAAGTAAAAATAAGTGTCAATAGCAACGACATATCTTTAAAAATGAATATTGTCACTGCGTAATTACGAATGAAATTTTTATATCGTAATTTAATTAAAATGAAAATAAAATATCAATAATGCATTCTCATTGACCCTGTATGCAGCCAACTGGTACATTTGAATTTCTGTGTGAGATCTGTGAGATCGATTTTTAATAAACTTAAAACATATTGCATTGAACTAATATTAATTTTTTTTTTTGGGTTTTTATACACACAAAACATATATTTTGTGTATATATATAAATATATTCTTGTGTATTTGTATATTTTGACGTTACTTCAAAACTGTTACAAAAACTTAAAAACAAATTTAAATAGATATTTTTTATTTGGACAGTAAACAAATTTGACATTATAATTTAAAAATGCCTTTTACTAGTGCAAACTTTAAATAAAAATACTTAAAATAAATGTTCTTCTTGCAATTAAAAATTATATATAAAATTCTATATTATGTGCACATTGGCTCATAAGTAAAAACAAAAAAAAATAATAATAAATAGTGCTCATAATAAGGAAGTCATTTAAGATAGACTAAAACATTAGGTAAAGTAAACGGTTTTAAATATTGCCAAAATATAACAAGAAAAACAAAATATAAAAGAAAAAATACTATTATTTATAATGGAGCATAATATTTGTATTTAATTATTTTTTTTTATGGTTTCTGATCTACCTTGTTTTTCTTTTTGTTTCATCGTTTTTTTTTTTCAGTTTAATTTTAATACGTTTATTTGTTATATTTTTTTTTTCTCGTTTATTATAATATGTGTATAATCATCATAAATTCTCCCATCATACTTTCTTTATCATTTAAGTCTGGATTCTGGCATAACGTAAATAAAAATCTTCGTTGCATGCGCACATTTTCGCATTTTATAATAAAATTTGTTTTTTAAACTTTTATTTATTTAGATTTCATATTGTTTTCAAACTATTCGTATTTTTATTTGCTTCAAATTGTATGTCGGTTGGCATGCGCTGAAGTGCATTTGTCAAATCTTTTTATTCACTGTGAAGTCGTTCTTTTTATCTCATTTATCGACTAGAAGTCATGAATAATGATGTTGTTTTTAATTTCTAATTAAATAATTATAGCTGTTTTTACTGGAATCAAGTTTCATAAAAATAGCTCTTGTCATCACATTATCTGATTTTAACCCAAATATAACATTGTTTGGAGGTAAAGTTTTATATTTGATTATATTTCCGCGTTGGCAAGTTGTTCTGAAAGTAGTATATCGGTTGTACCAAGAACAATATTATAAGAATTTAAATCTTCCAGTTTCTCAATAGGTGTAAGATAATCAGATATTATTGAACCTTCCATATACATTTTTTTTGTTTTTGTACACATAAGTTAGCGCTGCTACCTACCTAACAATTACATTGTTGGTATTGTTATCAATAGTTTCTGTCTCAATAACAATTGTTTTAACCGTTTCACGGTTATAACGCAACTGTTGTTAGTTCAGAAATAACCACAGCCTTTCCACGACATTCGCGTCTCTTTTGTAATAATATTGTATATATTCACGAATCTCCGTTAATTTTAATTAACATTGGATTTTCTTAAACCATTCATTATTTCAGTGATAGTCGTGAAACATTTGTTGGAAAGGGTTTTATTGATTTTTTATTAAAATTGCAAAATTTTTCCGTAAGTACTTAGAAATACGCAATTTTTGTAATGCTTATTGCTAAATGTTTTAAAATAGGTGGGAAGAAAAATATTGAGTTACCATTTTTAGTGATATCAGGGCCCTGTTGCACCAACACTTTTCACTTTTCACTTCGCAAAATTTATGAGTGACTTTTTTTTGCAAAGTAAAAGTGAAAAGCGTTGCACCAAAGACTTAACATAATTTACTTTGCACTTTGCAAATAAAAATTTCACTGCAAAGTCTTTGCATAAAATGCAAAGCAAAGCGTTGCACCAAAAAATTAGATCACTTTCATTTTGTATTGGTTATTGAAAGCATTTCGTTTCTGTATGTATACTTGTTTTTTAAAGTGCAGAGCACCAAAACCCAAAAACACCAAAAAAATGTATGCATACCAAGCTGAAAAAAAGCAACAAATTTCGTTACTTAGAATTCATGACTCTCTTTTCGCTCTCTCTCGTTTTCAAGTTAATATTCATGTTACGCTCATAATATTGTAAATTTGGCCAAAGAAATATTTAGTGAATGTTTTATATTGTTGAGTGCAAGTAATTCGGTGGTAATTTATAATATAATAATGAGTAAGCAATTGAAATTAAATAAAAAACTTGCGGTGTTAGAGTTAATAAAGGAGAAGAAGGTAAGGACAAACTTATTTACTTGTGCATAATTCATTGCAATAATATAAATTTAAATATTTTGTAC